CGTATATACATAAACACAAGATTATAAAGGCTCTCACAGCTGTTAATCCTGCATTCTGTGATGAGCATCACAACACCCAGTATGCAGGAGCTCTCCTCGAAACGGCTCGACGCCTGCGTGTCGAACGACCTTTCACCATCTTATCATTCACTCACGTTTTTCGTTTATGTGTGTAATAAAATGTAAAACGACAGGCAGAACGGGAAACAACTCATTAGCTTTCCAGCACGCACGAGAAAAACAGATGAAAAGGTCAAACATCGTGTGGTTTGTCAAACAAACATGGCACCGCACGTTTGCATGCATGGTTTGGTGCCGTTGCAATCAAGAGACGTACGTACGTACGTACTTCCTCAACTCAAACATCGTGCAAGTACGTACCGGGTTGAACTTGTCTCGATGAAAGTAGAGCATGGCAGGCGCGATACAAACTTGACCGCTAGAGCTGGACAGTAGACACGCTGACACGGAGTCATACATGGAATTACGCGTCCTCCCCGTCGTGCCTAAGAGTATCTCTAACCCGTGCTCAAAAAGAGCTCCGCGCACTAAAATTTTGTTTTTTTGGGCGCCGCACAGCTCCAGCAGATGTTGTAGTGTCAAAAGTTTTGGACGCGCGCTGAAAAACGCTATCGCGCGCAGCATATTTTGGGCTCCGGATTGCGCGCGCTTCACAATTTGCACTGTGTGCTTTTTGTGCATGCGTTTTTGGGCGTCTGCAAAAGCAATGTTGGTCCCGGCGCACTACAAATACTAAAGTGACGCGCTATAACTTTTAGAGAAAAGTATACTTTTCGTCCCTCAACTCTGGGCAGAGTCTATATTTGGTCCCTCAACTATGAAACCAGACAAATTGCACTCTTAACTTTTAAAACCGGACAAGTTTCGTCCCTTCTCTTGGTTTTGACCGGTTTTTGTGCTGACTTACCCTGGTTTTGACTTTTGACCGATACATGCTGACGTGGCAAAGAAAACCCCCAGATTGACCTCCTGATTTTGCTCTCTCTCTCGTACTCCCCTTCTTTCTACGCGGATGGGCAAGCTGCGGGCCGGAGCACGGCGAGGAGCAAGCTGCTGGAGGTGGTGGTCTGGATAGCATGAGCGTGGCGCCATGAGAGGGGATCGTTGGGGCTCGACCTGCTCCTCACCGGGATGGAGCACAACGCGGTTGTGGCCAGGCTGGGGCACCTCGCGGCTATGGTGGTGCGTGCCGTCCTCGCCCGCCGAGTTCGTCTCCCCGCACCGCTCGCTCACAAGCTCAGCTCTGCAGGTACCTCGCCGTCGAGCGCAGCTTGAACCCATCTCTCCCATCGTATTTTGTATTGCTCAGCGGCGGCGGCGCAGCGTCTTCACCCAACATGCTACGTAGCTGCGCGTCCCAGGCTCCTGGCCATTCAACTCCCGGGTTCCTGCTACACCAGAGAGCTACGGCCAGCAGGTGGTTGTGCGCGCGGACTCACATGATGGCTTGGAGCAGCATGTTTAGTGGCCAACGGGGCAATCGGCGGTGCGTGGTAGTTAGCAGAGCCACCAATGGTGGCGGCACTGGCTCGTCGACTCACGGCCACGCTCTGTTGTGGCGCGGTGCAGCATTGCACGTCAACAGTTCGACGAAAACGTCCATAGGAGATGGATGAAGAGAAATAGAACTATCGCCATGTGGACATGACCCGGTCAAAACCATGCTGGGTTAGCATGGATACTGCTTCAGTTGAGCCGGGGGATGAAACTTATCCGATTTCAAGAGTTCGAGGTGCAAGTTGTCTGATTTCGTAGTTGAGGGACGAAATCTAGACTTCGCCAAAAGTTCAGGGACGAAAAGTATACTTTTCTTTTACTTTTATTGTGCGCCAATTTTTTATGCGGCCGTTGGAGATACTCTAATGCAGTCGCCCTGCAAATTTACGCAGACCTGCACCGCATCGAGGAGGAAAACCGCCCATGGAGTTCGGCCACTTTTTGCGATTCCTTCTCCCATGTGACCAGAAAATACAGCAATGCATGATCCTTGGATCTGTTAGATGGCGTTCCCTAGCTTGATGAACACTGTGAAAGCACGGCGAGAGTAACCAAAATGAATTCGAGTTCTTCTTGTTGCCCCCTTGTTGACTTTTTAGGCTCTGACAACTACCGCTCGTAGTCGTAGTACTACATCACATGACCCGTAGCTCATGCCAAGACAGATTCCGGTTTAAACCACCTGGCTGGACACAGGGAAAGCGTATCGCACGCTGCTATTCCCAGAGCATGCATGATGACAACTCACGATGCCTCAGGTTTCCATTATCAAGTCCCACTGGCGGCGTCGTGCAGCCGTACATAGTGCGCCGCGCACACACACCACCTTTCTGGTTTCTCTCCTCAACGAACGGACCTGCTTTTCCATGATCCAAAACCATGGACGAAACCCCGAGTTCCGTCGCGAGTCCAATCCGCGTCAACCCGGGACGGGCCACTATATATACACACGAGCGTCCCAGCCAAAAAACCCAAACCCTCCCTCACACCAAGACACTACTGGTACCACAAGAGGAAGCTTAGCGCACCCACAGCTGCACGAAACCGAATCCTCGACGTCGATTCAGAGAGGCGTGGTCGATCGTTCCTGATCGATCGGTCCGAAGTTGGACCGTAGCGTGTGCTTTCTACTAGGGCGCCATGATCACGTGGCTGGCCGTGTACCATGTCGTGGAGGCGATGGCGCCGCTGTACACGGCGGCGGTGCTCGGGTACGCGTCCGTGCGGTGGCTCAAGGCCTTCTCCGAGGAGCAGTGCGCCGGGATCAACCACTTCGTCGCCATCTACGCCGTGCCCGTGCTCATCTTCAACATGGTCTCCACCAACAACCCCTACGCCATGAACGGCCGCCTCGTCGCCGCCGACACGCTGCAGAAGGCCGTCATGCTGCTCGGCCTCGTCGCCTGGGCCGCCTGGGAGTCCCGCTCGCGCCGCCGCCGCCGATCCGACGGAGGCGGCAAGGCTTCGGCTGCGGTTGCAGCGGCCTCCCCGCTGCAGTGGGTGGTGACCGCCTTCTCTGTGGCGTCGCTGCCCAACACCATCATCATGGGCGTGCCGCTCCTCGGCGGCATGTACGGGGCCATGTCCAAGGACCTCATGAAGCAGATCGTCGTCATGCAGTTCTGCGTCTGGTACAACGTCGTCATCTTCATCTACGAGTACATGGCGGCCCGGCGCGCCGCGACGGCCATGGATGGCACCGCCAAAATCAGCCCTGGGTCGCCCGGGGCGGCGCCGTCCGCTGAGAAAATCGCCCCCAATGACGAGGCCGTCGTTGCGGCCAAGCGGGCCCACGAAGTAACCGTAAACATTGAGATCACGGAGGTTGCCCCGGCGTCTACGGCACAAAAAGACCTGGCAGACAACACAACAACGACGGTGGCCAAGGAGACAAGTGCCGACGCGGAGGCAGAGCAAGGGTCGCCGCCGCCGGCGAAGTCGACGGCGCCTTCGGTGACGCACATCGCCTTGATGGCAGGGAAGAAGGTTCTCAAGATTCCGAATACCTATGCGAGCTTCCTTGGCCTCATCTGGGCCCTAATCGCCTTCAAGTACGTCCCTTTCATTCACAGCTCATACCTCGTACATATTCCTGTGCCTATTTGGATATCTTCTCCTAATGTATTCACGTCGATCTACTTGTGTTTCTACAGGTGCGGGATCAAGATGCCAAAAATAATTGACGACTCGCTGTTCACCATCCAGACGACGGCCGTTGGGCTCAGCATGTTCGCGTCGGGGACGTTCATAGCGCGTCAGTCGCGGTTCGTCCCGTCCGGCTACGCGATCGCGTCCATGTCGATGGTGCTCAAGTTCCTCATCGGCCCGGTGGTGATGCTGCTCGCGTCGCTCGCCATCGGCATGCACGGCACCCTGCTGCACATTGCTGTTGTACAGGTAAACCGCACGCACGGCTGATTAATTCTTTCATCTATTTCTTGAGATGTGCGACGGCATTTATTTCTACGTTTCTTGAGCGGCTGGCCTACAGCCTACTAGCTGCCATGCCATGCGGTTGCATGCTCCAGTAGTAACGGAAAGTGCGTGGTGAAAGATGACCGCACACGTTTGTGTCCAGTAGTAGTACAAGTCAAAAATGACAAATGCTGACCCATAAAGTGGAACGAAACCCACAATTTTTGAAGCTTTTTACCGCGAGCTGAGTTGAACAAACTAAATTAAGCGGTGTCGGAGCTAAATTCTAATCAAACCTTCCAAAAAAAAATCCCTCAAAAGAGTTTAGACCAAAGCTGAAGCTGTGCAGTTATATATGTTGTTCATTATACAAATTTTGAGATATATTTTTTAACCACTATTTTTGACATGCATGTTCATACAGGCGGCCCTTCCCCTAGCCGTGACTTCATTTGTGTACGCTGAAGAATACAAGGTCCATGCAGACATCATGAGCACAGGGTGCGTTTCTTTACCAGATTTTGCTACAGATATTGTTGCCTTGTTTCTGTGAATGACCATCTGATCAACTGCACCTATCTGGTTTTTGTTCTTTTCAGGGTAATTCTTGGGATATTTATCTCGCTCCCCGTCACCATTGTATACTACATTCTATTAGGTCTATGATCGAGCTACCAAGATCGATGTCCGAGGCCTGAAAAGCGCATGTCAGATGTAGAAGATGTGCCACACAACAGTTGAAGAGAGCAGCTCGATTGCAGCTTGAAGAAGCCAATTACTGGACTCCAACATGATAATCCAAATTAAAGAATCAAGAGAATCATAATGATATTGTTTGAATGTGGTCAATCAATAGAAAGTTCATCTTTTCACTCAAATATGATGTAAAGTTAGTTCAAACTTCACGTTGGACAAAAAGTACCACCTCCTTTCCAGTTTATTAGGCCTGCACGTATCATATTGACAATTTGATCAACATAATACAAGAGTTATATCACAAAAATTATATCATTAAAACTTAAAATGGTACAAATTTTAATGGTATGAATTATGGAATATACAACTTGTATTACGTTGGTTAAATTATCAATCTAGGCAGATACACGCATGCCTAATGAACCCGGAAAAGATGGAGTATTGTACAAAGTCTCGTACACCCACCTTAACTAAGTTACTTTAAATGCATATCACCAGATGAGATTACAATTTACATCTTCTAATAAAGGGATAGTTTGGCCTTCTTACATGGTGGATTTATTTTTAAAGACCTGCTCTCCCGATAGCCGGCGTTCGTGATGGAGTAGGCTACGATGGTGGCGCAAATTGCGAGATGAGGCAAAACCCTAGGTGTTTTTGAGGTGTCTTTGGCTGCAGTCGGTAAGCATTATATATAGGAATACCAGAGACGGTATCCTGTCGCGATCACGATCTCAAATCGACTTGGCTTTTAAGTTGTATACTTACCGGACAATGAACCATAAACTTTTCTGCCAAGTGCCCGAGTCCGGCCAGGCAAGGCGAGCACATGCGGGCGATCTTCTCTTTCCCTCCTTAACATATCACTGAGTGTGGTGAAGAGAACTCACTATATAAAGAGGTCTCGCATCTCGTCAACTTCGGTTGTAATTATCACTTGCCATTTTATACACGGGGCTTTTTAAGAATTCAGAAATTGTACATGGGCTAGGCCCATTATTTCTAATCGTCGTGCCCTCCATCCTGATTTGCTAGGCAGTGTCTCACGTATGTGTCATGTAGGGTTTACCGGAGTCATCGATGTCCTTCTTCGTGCTTGTTTTTCATCTTTAATCCATATTGTATGCGAGCTATGTCTATGTGTTTGTTCGAGACGACATTGTGTGTGCTCTTCCTCCCGAGTTGAGGAATCGTGCTAGGGGTTTTCAAGGATGCATTTTTCTTGTGTGATGGTAGTTGATCATATATATGTGGGCATTAGATTAGGCTATATTAGTGCTCAGATTTGTTCAATAGTCTTGTCGTCTGATTTTTTCGGAATTCTAGTATGCTGCAGCTCAAAATTTTGAATGTTCGTTAAATGAAATTTTCTACACTGTTAACTGAATTTTTGTGACACTTGTTGTGGAGTTAACTGAATGTGTATACAATTACATCACTGAATTGTGCAGTACAATTAACTAAATATTTATAGGCACTGAATGTGTGATAGGGTGAGTAGTTAAGTATTTTGTACATACATTGCATTATGAATTTGCTTGACCTCTAATGGTACCACACCCAAAAACCAACAGGTGGAAAAAAATGATCAACGGAATCGTCTTTCTATAAGACGAGCGTCCATGGGCATGAATTTTTCATTGATGATGTCAGTTTATCATGATCGTGCGTTGTTTGATCCCGCAACCGATTGAGGATCACGCCCCGAAGTGACATCCTAGACCAAATAACCAAATTTAGCCCAATGATAAAGTTGGGCTCTTCATTAATAGGAGATGGTTATGTAGCATGTAGGTCCCAAAAGCATAACTGCGGAGGAGCTCCAACTACATGTCTGACTCTTGCACCCAACCTGGACAAAGATGAACAAAATGCAGTAAACACGATATGAAACTTTGTCCAAATTTATCCAGTTTGGTTTTGTTCAATTATCCGTTTCAAGGTATAGGATTGTCTTATGTTTCTAACTTAACATTCAAAAGCATTTTTTTATGATAATATGTGTCTCATTCATATCATAAAGAACAAAGTACAAGTCACGTAAAGATTGACATCTGGAAGGCAGTGTGGGGGTGCCCTGCTCCCCCAAAGGTACGCATTTTTTCCTGGCGAGTTGTGACGAATTCTTTGGCCACCCTTGAAAACAAACGGAAAAGGAAACTTGAGGTTTCCGATACATGTGCTCTTTGCGGTATGGAATGCGAGGACTCGTTTCATGCCCTATGCAGATGCCCTTTGGCGCAACGACTATGGAAGGCTATGGCGGGCATATGGAGAATGCCTAAGGCCGGTGGACACTATCGCCAACACATGCAAAGAATGGACCATTCATTTGCTTGATGGCTGTCAAGATGAAGTTCGACTTGAAGGAAATATGCCCTAGAGGCAATAATAAAGTTGTTATTTATATTTCCTTATATCATGATAAATGTTATTATTCATGCTAGAATTGTATTAACCGTACATGTGTGAATACATAGACAAACAAAGTGTCCCTAGTATGCCTCTACTTGACTAGCTCGTTAATCAAAGATGGTTAAGTTTCCTAGCCATAGACATGTGTTGTCATTTGATGAACGGGATCACACCATTAGAGAATGATGTGATGGACAAGACCCATCCGTTAGCTTAGCACTATGATTGTTTAGTTTATTGCTATTACTTTCTTCATGACTTATACATGTTCCTCAGACTATGAGATTATGCAACTCCCGAATACCGGAGGAACACCTTGTGTGCTATCAAACGTCACAACGTAATTGGGTAATTATAAAGATGCTCTATAGGTGTCTCCGATGGTGTTTGTTGAGTTGGCATAGATCGAGATTAGGATTTGTCACTTCGTGTACCGGAGAGGTATCTCTGGGCCCTCTCGATAATGCACATCACTATGAGCCTTGCAAGCAATGTGACCAATGAGTTAGTCACGGGATGATGCATTACGGAATGAGTAAAGAGACTTGCCTGTGGCGAGATTGAACTAGGTATGATGATACCGACGATCGAATCTCGGGCAAGTAACATACCGATGACAAAGGGAACAACGTATGTTGTTATGCGGTTTGACCGATAAAGGTCTTCGTAGAATATGTAGGAACCAATATGAGTATATAGGTTCCGCTATTGGTTATTGACCGGAGATGAGTCTCGGTCATGTCTACATAGTTCTCAAACCCGTAGGGTCCGCACGCTTAATGTTCGATGACGATATGTATTATGAGTTATGTGATTTGATGTACCGAAGGTTGTTCGGAGTCCTGGATGTGATCACAGACATGGCGAGGAGTCTCGAAATGGTCGAGACATAAAGATTCATACATTGTAAGGCTACATTCATACACCGGAATGGTTTGGGTCGTTTCGGATAAGTTTCGGAGTACCGGGGGTTACCGGAACCCCCTTCGGGAAGTTATTTGGGCCTTATGGGCCTAGTGGTTGAAGAGAGGAGGCAGGCCAAGAGGTGGAGCATGCTCCCCTAGACCAAACCGAATTGGACTAGGGCTAGGGGGCGGCCCCCTTTCCTTCTCTTCTTCCTCTCCTTCCTTCTTCTCCTACTTGGACTAGGAAAGGGGGAAACCTATTCCTACTAGGAGTAGGAATCCCCCCCTTGGGCGCGCTCCTTGAGGCCGACCCTCCTCCTCCCCTCCTATATATACGGGGGAGGGGGCACCCCACAGACACACAAGTTGATCTTTAGCCGTGTGTGGTGCCCCCCTCCACAGTTTTCCACCTCAGTCATATTGTCGTATTACTTAGGCGAAGCCCTGCGTCGTAACTGATACGTCCATTTTGCATCATGCTTTTATATCGATATTTATTGCATTATGGGATATTATTACACATTATGTCATAATACTTATACCTATTCAATCTTAGTTTACAAGGTTTGCATGAAGAGGGAGAATGCCAGCAGCTGGAATTCTGGGCTAGAAAAGGAGCAAATATTAGAAACCTATTCTGCACAACTCCAAAAGTCCTGAAACTCCACGGAAGTCATTTTTAGAATATATAAAAAAATATTGGGCGAAGGAAGCACCAGAGGGGGGCCACCCACCATCCACGAGGGTGGGGGCGCGCCCGCTTGTCTCGTGGGCCCCCTGGCAGGCCTCCGGTGCCCATCTTTGGCTATATGAAGTCTTTCGCCCTGTAAAAAAATCATAAGCAAGCTTTCGGGATGAAACTCCGCCGCCACGAGGCGGAACCTTGGTGGAACCAATCTAGGGCTCCGGCGGAGCTGTTCTGCCGGGGAAGCATCCCTCCGGGAGGGGGAAATCATCACCATCGTCATCACCATCGATCCTCTCATTGGGAGGGGCCCAATCTCCATCAACATCTTCACCAGCACCACCTCATCTCAAGCCCTAGTTCATCTCTTGTATCCAATCTTTCTCTCAAAATCTCAGATTGGTACCTGTGGGTTGCTAGTAGTGTTGATTACTCCTTGTAGTTGATGCTAGTTGGTTTATTTGGTGGAAGATCATATGTTCAGATCCTTTATGCATATTAATACCCCTCTGATTATGAACATAAATATGATTTGTGAGTAGTTAAGTTTATTCCCGAGGACATGGGAGAAGTCTTGCTATAAGTAGTCATGTGAATTTGGTATTCGTTCGATATTTTGATGAGATGTATGTTGTCTTTCCTCTAGTGGTGTCATGTGAACGTCGACTACATGACACTTCACCATTGTTTGGGCCTAGGGGAAGGCATTGGAAAGTAATAAGTAGATGATGGGTTGCTAGAGTGACAGAAGCTTAAACCCTAGTTTATGTGTTGCTTCATAAGGGGCTGATTTGGATCCATATGTTTCATGCTATGGTTAGGTTTACCTTAATACTTCTTTTGTAGTTGCGGATGCTTGCAAGAGGGGTTAACCATAAGTGGGATGCTTGTCCAAGTAAGGGTAGTACCCAAGCACCGGTACACCCACATATCAAATTATCAAAGTAATGAACGCGAATCATATG